ATGATTGTACATAAGATGATGATGAAGTTGATTGTCAATGTGTATGTACGATGATGATGATGATGATGATGATGATGATGATGATGATGATGATGATGATGATGATGATGATGATGATGATGATGATGATTGTCAATGTGTATGGACGACGACAACGATGATGATGATGATGATGATGATGATGATGATGATGATGATGATGATGATGATGATGATGATGATGATGATGATGATGATGATGATGATGTGTATAAATGACTATGATTGAGAAACGCATGCTTCTGTCTACAAGTGAGAGTTTGTGTGTAATGTCTGTTTGATGTAGATGTAACAAAAACAAAAACAAACAAAAAATGACGTAGCACAGGACGTACTTGCTTTACGTCCGCCATAAAACAGCCGTCGATGTGGTTTTGTTATGCTAATATGAATTAAGTTTAAACATGATTTGTTTTATTTCATTTTATACGACTAGTATAAATTCTAAGATTAAAGTTTAAAAATGGAACTATATTTTGTTTGTTTTGTTGTCATGCTGTTGCTGGGACCCCAGTGACAGTTTTTACATTTTCCCGGGAAAACACGTTGGTCTCTCTACTGCGTTGTCCTCGTGTATAAAGAGAGGTATTGTTTTCTTTATGCTTGCATTGGAAAATCAAAGCACTTAAAAATATGAACATAAGGAATAAAATGTATTTGTTCGTAGCGATTCATGGTAAATATATCCAGAAAGCCAATGCTGCTATGACCTCATGAATGTTGAAAATAAATCCTTGAATGACACCACGCCTGACAACAAAGTTGCACGGCATTTTGAATGGATTTGTCAGTTCTACTGTTTTATGCTGTCTGGTAAGGTTTCCAAACAAAACTACTATCGATTATGTTTGTTCTAAAGATACCTTAGTCTATATAGCAAAGTTGTAAGAAAACTGTCACTTTTTCTACCGTCGTTTTATCAACAGCTGAGAAGAAAGAAGGTACCGCTATGATTTGTCAATAATAAAAGCTATATCTTCATATGTGAGGATATAAAATTGTTAATATCATCACTACAGTGCAGATTGAAGACCACAATTATAATTCCTGATATTTAACTGATAGTGAATAATAAATATATGACAAAATATCGAATGCTGATTTCACAGATACGTGTCTGTCCTTGTGAACTTTTACATGGTCCTATCGTTCTTGTAATCCCTGGAACTTTTATTTGTCTTCTTTGCCGGTTTCAAGTACGATAATGAAATGAAAACATTGCCTCTTTCACTTGAAGGCACTTTTGTCACATGGTGTTTAAGTGTCATCTTTGGACTGGTGTACTTTCACGCTGATGTCAATTATTGATAAAACCAATCGCCAATTCAATTACAGGCATTACGCGAACAGGTATTCATCATAACTTAAAATCACGCGTGTTCATTGAATCTTGAAATATTGTCCGGGCGGTCACACATAATAACAGAAAGTTAAGGGTAGTGAAATAGAGTGTGTACGAAATATGATAATTCGAATAAATCATTCACATACCTCAGGGTTAGTATTTCTAAGTCTGCTGAGGCGGAAAGTAATAAAAATAATAATACTGATCACTATTGCAATGATCGAACATTACACTATCGCTTTAAAACAGAGCAAAGATGATAAACCAGTAATAGCATATCTATAACATGATAAAGTATTGTCGGTGTGACGCAATACCTTTATACCTATGTTGTCAAACACGAAAGTTCAACATGTTTTATATTAACCAACATATTAGGAGGTAAAGAGCATCTATCGTTTGCATGGCCTGACCCGGGACATCTGGTTTCGCCACGAGTGCATGATAACATTTGAGTATTCATTCATCCCTTGTGTTTTGATGCAGTGATATGTTTTAATGTAGCATTCTTCACATCATTTGAAGAATTTTGAGAATGTGCAAGTAAACAGACATTCTCCTTTTATCTTATTTTATTTCAACAAATGGCCAACAATTATGTGTCTATATCGTAACAATCGACGTTAGTTGGCCAAAGCAGAAGACCTATTTGACCAAGATCTGTAAGCAATATGATAAATTTTATCTGTAATCACGATGTTGTTATTGTGCAATTCAAATTGTATAAATCATTCGACCATTGCCTACTGATTGGAGTTATTTGTAAACAAAACACTACCTGAAATAGAATCCAAAATGGAACTTGCCCAAGGTATATGTGTTTGTGAACTGAGATGAACCGTGGTTAAAAAACAAATATACACACATACCTGACAAAATGTTGAACAATTCCACAAGATAGCGTTGAGAAACTATTCAATATCAATAACGTCTGTTACAACTGATATAACATACAACATTTATATAGCGCCCTATATAATTTGTAAAATTACTCTAAAGCTCTTTACAGCACATTAATGATAGTTATAGTAGATAAAAAGACATGCAAATCAGCAAGATCTTTTATTTTCGGCGCATCATATCCCCATAATCCACAATCTAAT